CAGCTTTGATCAAATTACTTCCTGAACAAATGGCCTTTGACTGGGTTGGTGAATGAATAGCCCAGGCACCCTGGGTTTCAGCAGCTTCCTATCTGTTTATCGCTGGTACCAGGCTTGGTCTCACTCCTGTGCTCTTCCCCCCTCTCATTTGGCACAAGAAGGATGTGCTAGAAGAGGACACTGTGCTTCCTTTCTCTCTATTCCCCCACCCTCATTTTTTTTTGAATGAGTGCCCATTTGCTTATGGCCTGTCTCTCTGATACAAACCGAACATCCAGAATGTTAAAGCTATCCCAATAGCAGCAATTCTAATTCACTCTCTTTTTCTCTCATATATAAGAAAATTCTCTGATTCTTCATTCTTCTTATAAGGCATTATGACTGGAAGTATCACACGTTTTTAACTATGCTCAGAATGACCTCTCTAGACATTATTACATGCAGATATGCCAGAAACGGAATCTATTAGAAAGGATAGAGCGGGCTCTGTTTGGGGGAAGGGATGGTGACATGATCTTTAAAATGACTTTTGCCCTCAGTGTGACAAGCACAAGGAATTGTGTCCTCCATCTTCTATGGCTGGCCACAGACAGGATAAGGGGCTTCTAGTAGTACTTCAAGAGGGTTATTTCCCTGCAATTGGATATTGTGTGCTGGGATAACTGGGGGCTGTGGTGCTTTGGGACTCAGTGAATGGATGTACCATAAACTAGTTGGAAAGCACCTGGGTTGAGCTTTATACTTGAACTTTTAGCTACTTTTTTAAAAAAAGTAACAGATTTTATTGAGTCAATTCAATTCATAAAAGCCTTTTCTACTAGAAAATGTTGCTTCTCTATATCTAAAGCAAAGACCAGCTGTCTGTGGCCATTTCAAAACAAATGCCTCCTCAGAGGAAAGTAATAGAGCCAGGAGAAAGAGGAAGAGATCTAACCTCAGGACCTGCAGCATTTCTAATCACATCATCATCACCCTGCATGTACACTCTTAGTCTTTGTTTCCTTCTCACAGTGGGACCTTCCTACCCTCTCAGCCTGCTCCTTGCTTCTTTAACCACAGGCTATTTGTTGTGTATCTGCTGCCAACTTGGCTGGTGAGAAACCAGGCCTGCAGGAGACAAAGGGTCCTGGCAAGAACACCAACTGAAAGCCCCAACAGGGTCAGCTCCTGTGCCTCCGTTAAAAATCGCATGGAACTAGAAGTCACTCTGGAGTCACCAGGGACCTGGTTAGCAAAAAGTGGTCCTGCTATCCGGATACAGCCTCTGAGTGCGTGGCAGGATGGCAGGAATGGAGAGGGAGGGCCACGCGGTCCTTTCGGGACAGGTTCAAGCAGTTCACTTAGGAAAACACTGAAAAACTCTGGGCTCCTGTCTGCTTGGATCAAACAAAGAAAAGCCATTCTTGCTTTACACAGTAACAAACCTCAGACTAGGCAAACCTCATTGAGTATGGGCACCTCCAGGAGCTGAGATTTCGTGCGACTGAGGCTGTCTGAACAAATGTGTGTACGAGGTCAACTGGAAGGACGGCAGCGTGGTTCGTAGGTTGGAGAGCCGGGATTCTGTCTTGCACTGCCCAGGGTTGCTCATCATATCCTACTATCCACCTCTTTTCCTTCCTTCAGTCCCAGAACGATGCCCCGTAGGACAAGCCAGGCCTGGCAGCCTTGCCTTGGAGCACTGGTCTCGGGAGCTCTGGCCTCCGTGTGCAATCAGAGGAAGCTTGTAAACAGTGAGCTTGTCCCTTCAGTGAAGGGAAGCTTATGCATTGACTTCTCCCTCATCGTTCTATCTCCTTAAGCTTTTGGGTGCCAGCCTGAGGACACAGGCTTTGAACTGATTCTAGTCGCTAGTGACTGGATCATTCCTATAGCTACAGACAACGTAAGAGAAATTTACCGCCGGCTTTCCCGCGCGGAACTAGGGGAGGCCGGGAAAGAAGGCCCAGGTGCTGGGGCTGAGAAAGGTGAGCCTGAGGTGGTGGGGCTGCGGCGCGCGTGGCCACGGGGTTGTGGAGCTGCAGAAGGTGAGTCCCAGGGGATCCCTGCCCCGGAGCTGACGCACGCGCACTAGGAGCCTGGCGCCCAGGCGGCAGGTATTAATCTGTTTAGTTTTTCGGTCCCCTTATGGGTTGAGATGATTGAAAATTAGTCTTTGAGGACCGTTCCCTTCTCTGTAGGTAGCCAGGAGCTTGCACCTTATTTCCGGGGCCGGGAGAACGTGGGAATTGACGACAGCACCGCGCACCCAGCTAGTCCTGGCGACGTTGACCTGGCTCCGCGGTTTGTGCATGGACCGTGGTAACGTCTCCGGCCAGGGGGCTCTTGATTACTACCACGCGAAACGTGGTACAGGCTTGCACTCTCTGTGAGTGGAGTTTACGGGAGAAGAGCCCAGAGTAGCCCAGACGATGAAATTGAAATTTTTCTGACCGCAGATTTCACCGATACGGCCAGGGCGGGCGCAACCCGGGAGCGCAGGGTGGCCGGTTCCTCTCTCTGCGAAGCTGCGGAGGGACCGGGATTGGCGTCTCCGAGGGCGGAATGCGGAGTGCTGTCATCTTTCACAGTTCAGCGTTTGCAGGTTTTTTGTTTGTTTGTTTTGTTTTTTAGTGGCACCCACTCTACTTGCTTAAGCACACCATGCCAATTCGGTTGTAAGAGCGCACATTCTTTTTCTTTGCTTTTTTCTTTTTTTTTTAAACCTCTAGTATCGAAGAGAGTTTAGAAGGGACCTTGGGATCTGGTTTGCTACACTCAGTCACTGCCCACAAGCACCGGTCACTTCTTTCCCTTAGCAAGCTCCCAGTTCTTCCTAAAGTTTCACCCTGGGACCCAAGAAGAGGTCAGAGTGCACCTTGCAATCCTTCAGGTTGAGATGGACTAAAGCCCAAGCAGGTGTCTTGGCCTTTCTGGGTCATCCTAGACAAAATTTGATCCCCAACTGGAATCTTACAGGAAAAAAGAGATACAAGAATGGTTATTTCAGTGGAGGTGGGGCTTGAAAGTTGAAACAAAGAAGAAATGAGAGATGGAATCTCAGCTCCAGAAGCTTGGCCCCAGCGTGGTCTTGCCCTTTGGGAGTTTGGGAAGGGGGGCTGATAGCGCATCTGGGGCAGGTTCCACTCTTCCGCTCTTTCAGCAGATGGGGGAGGGGCAAGCAACTAGATTTGTTTTGGAAGCTCTTTGCCACTTGATGCATCAGCGGTAGACTGAGTGGCATGCAGGGGAACTTATTGAGAGCTTTCAGCAGCACTACCAGGCCTTAAACCATGACAGCTTTGTCACAGACCCAAGGACATCACTTGCAGAAGGCACAGTGTTAGGCTCAGTATCTCACAATTATTCACCTGGGGAAGAGGTCAAGTGGACTGTTCTGAGGGACCAGGTGTCTGTCTTCAAGGTCCACCTTCAGGATTGCTTTGTAAGGGTCTGCCTACTTACCAGTGAAGCCAGAAGTATAGAGCTTGAGCCTCCAACAGTGGGAAGAGAAGGGGGATTCAGCCCAGGACCTCATCTTATATAGTGTGTCAGAGGCATTGTGCCCAGCTATGCACATTTATGTGTGATATCTTCTTTTTTTCTCCACAGTGGCTTCACTAAGTTGTCAAGGTGACTTCGTTTTACAGTTTTCTCGATGTTATGTATTCTAGCCATGGAAGATTTCCAATCCTGAAAAATCTACGTGCTTTTTATATGCTTTTCATTATGGAAATAGGAATCCTTAAGTGGGTACTCAATAACAGACAATGCCATATCTTAGCATCAACCGTGGCTTATGTGAATTGACCTTATCGGTCAAAATCACAGCCTTTTCATTAAAATGGCCAATGAATAATGTATCAGAGTGTAGTTTAAAGCTTCAAATATGTTTTCAGACAGAAATATTCTAAGAATGCAAGGCAGGTATATTTCTGAGATAAATGACAGTAGAGGCATTGCATACACTAAAATTCTCGGTTCTCAGGTTTCCTGAAATCCAGAGCGCTCATCATTAATCATTCATTGGGGTGGGCCCTTCAGTCAATGGCAGCTCTGAGTAAACTGAAGCGAGCTGTTAGCTAATCCTTCCTGCCAAGGGGATCCTAGGGTGAGAGAGGACAACTGGACAATCAGTCACATGTGCTGGTGCCCAGACGCAGCTCCCAGCGTGGGTGTGCGTGTGCTCTCACACTCTGGGACACATACCCAGGGCTTCCCAAAAGAAAAAACAAATTTGGCTTAATGTTTAGCGCGACTGAGAGTTTCCAACGAAAGCACCTCGAATAGTGGTGTAATGGCTCAGGGTGGCTCTGTAAGCGCTGCATAAAACCCATTCCTTGGCTCTTTAATAAATCACATAAGAACCACCGTCACAACAAAAGCAATCTTCTCCAACCACACTACACCAAAGCCTTCTCAAGTTGGGCTGCGAGTCCTGGCTAGGTTCTCCGGCCGAGGCACTTAAAGCAGCAAGATCTCCCAGCGGGACGCAATTCCCCAGAAATTCCAGGCGCCGGGGTTGTGAAAGTGTAGTCTACAGGGCAAAAGGGAAGGGAACCTGGAAATTGGGTTCCGCCCGCGTAGGCTAGAGTGCTTGGCTGGGGTGCAGACGTGCGGCAGAGGCTGAAAGGATGAGAACTCGCTTCCACCTTTTAACCCCCGATTTCCTTCGCGGCCCCTAGAAGACTCAACTGCCCGCGCGCAGCTGAATTCCGCGCAGCTTTGGCTCGAGTCCGAGGGTGGCCGTGTGGCGCTTGAGAACAGCTGGGATGCGTGGCCCCGGTGTGCGCGCGCCCCGCGTCTGGGTGCAGCTCCTCTCCACCCGGCTTCTCCACCCCCTCACTCTCTCTCATCCCCTCCCTCCTCCACACCCCCGCCCCCGGGACCGTCAGGCTCCCTCTCTGCACCGGCCAGAGAGTACACAAAGCGGCTGGTGAGGGGAAGCCTAGCAGGCGTGCACCGAGCAGTGAGATCACTGGCGTTATAAATATCACACTGCCAGCGCTGAGATCCGTTCCGGTGGCCTCTCTCTCTCTCTCTCTCTTTCCCCTTTTCCCTCTCTCTTCCCCGAGGCTATGTCCACCCGGTGCGGCGAGGGGGGCAGCGCCAGAGGCACGCAGCCGCGCGGGGGCTACAGAGCCCAGAACCAGCCCTACAAGATGCACTTAGGACCCCCGCGGCTGGAAGAATGAGCTTGTCCTTTCTCCTCCTCTTCCTCAGCCACCTGATCCTCAGCTCCTGGGCTCAAGGGGAGAAGCGCCTCGCCCCCAAAGGGCAACTCGGACCTGCTGCAACTGATAGGAACCCGGGAGGCTCCAGCAGCCGCCAGAACAGCAGTAGCACAACGTCTTCCTCTTCTTCCTCTGCCTCCTCCCCCGAGACTTCTCTGGGCAGCCAAGGAAGCGGCTTGGAGCAGAGCAGTTTCCAGTGGACCCCCTCAGGGCGCCGGACTGGCAGCCTCTACTGCAGAGTGGGCATCGGTTTCCATCTGCAGATCTACCCGGATGGCAAAGTCAATGGCTCCCACGAAGCCAATATGTTAAGTAAGTTGCTCGCTCTCCCGCAAAACCCATCCCAAGCGGGTGGCCGGACATTCGGGAGGGACAACCGGTTATTCCCAGGGCCACCGGCTCACCTTCCGAAGCCCTCGAAACAGCTTGGCGGGTGGAGTGGAGATGCGTTGATATGGCGCGCACGCACGCACCGACTCTCGGGTCTAAGGAATGGCGATTCCTGAAGTGTAGGCTATCCCGAGGCTGGTGCACAGCGATCGGCACCTTGTTTCCAGTTTGTCCTGGTCCCAAAAAGGAGCCTCCAGCGTTTGCTTGGAGAAAAAAATAAAAATCTCCTTTTTTTCTCCTCCTTCAGTTTCTGTTTACTTTCTGCTTCTGTATACTAGGCTAGCATTTTTTTTTTTTTAGGCAGAAAGTGCACCCCTTTTCCTTACCCATGACTGAAGATACATTTTTAAGAAGAATAAAATCTGACATGTCTCCCTTGAACCACCACCATAAACCCCAAACTAGTATATCGTATATTTATACATATATGTATAAGTATGTCTATTGTGTATACATATTTACACCTATAGAATGTATATGTATTTTCTAGGGGAGACTAGACACCCCCTGTTTGGAAGAAGACAGTGAGCTGGAAAATTGGGCACATTTAGAAAGGGTGATGTGGTGGACATTTGAATTATTAGCTCTAGAGTTGGGTTTAGCAACGTTTAGTATCATGAGACCAAGACAGCACCTTTAGGAAGAGTGGCCAGCTTTTGGTCCCCAAGGACAATTAGGGTAAAGTTCAATTCGGTACAGGTGCAAACTGTGGAGGTTTTTAAAAGCCAGATTTTACATTTTATTTCTGAGTTTTCTATTTAGTTCTTTCTTTCGCTACTTCCTCATTTCTCTTCTAATTTCCAGACCATCACCTCTGCTCCTTCGCTTCCTTTCCTGCCTCTAGGACTGGGACGATCTCTGCCGGGCTTTTCCTCGGTAGGGCTCTTCCCGTGGAGTTAGTCCGTCGGATAGAAACACAGCTCGGCCCCGAAATACCAAAGAGGGGAAACGTGCCCAGGAGACAGCGCTGCGCGCGGTCACCCGGCTCCTGAGCGGCAGCCTGGTAGCTCCCAGGTGTACTTCAGTCTGCACCCTCTGTAAATTTCATTGTTTTGACCACGTATTGCTTTCAGCCCCTGCCTAGAGCAATGCCTGGCCCACGAAAATCGCTCATTTACTCTGTTGAGTTGCTAAATCCCTCGTTTAAGGATGAGGAAACAGGCTGGCAACTTGGTCGGTCTCAAACCCAGGACCACGTTGCTTCTCACCCAGGCTGTGGAGGAGCAGCGGCGCCACAGCAGGGTTGCCCTCCGGAGCGGAGTTGGAGGCGCCCACAACCCTGGGGAGGCGGGCTGGCAAGCCTCTTCCCCGGGGTTCAGAGGCTGGGTGAAAAGATCAGGCGGCGGTTTCATTTGGTAGAGGAGCGGGTCGACGCCCACCCCGGCCCCAAATTAGTCACTCAGGCTGCGCAACTCCAGCAGGCTGTGTTGCACGTGGTGAGGTGGCCTGGACACACATGAGGGAGGCCCTCCATAAGTACCCCAGTGAGTCCCAGAGCCTCCCTCACGGTTCTTAGAGGAGCCTGTCTTTATGTTTTAAGGTTCATTTCACTCTTACAAAACAACTCACCAACTTTGGAGATAGTGTGAAGGGGAATTTTTTGAGGTTTCAGGGGCAGCAAGAGTTAAGTCTATTTCAGAATTTCCATTTGTCCTTATTTTGTCCCACATAACCCTTTACTCCATCAGACATCAGAGCTCATTCCCTACTACTAGGACCCTTTCCTCCTTCATCTTACCTGAAAACGTTTTCTGTTCTGTTCTTGTAGTTTGTCCAGGAAATTAGTACCAACAGAAGATAACTTCTGTGTTCCTAAGGAGGCAGACCCAATGTTAGCATGTATCAAGCAGAAGTTTGGATTCCAGAGGAATAAAAGCGTATGTCTGGGGTGGGTTTTGTGTGCTAGGGATCTCCGAAAAACAAACGTATTTCCAGGACATTCACCCTCTTCTCTTGGGAAAAACAAACAAACATATAGACAAAAACGTTTTTTTTTTTTTTGCATTTTAGGCCTTGCTCAAGGGGCAGTTGTAGAAAAATATAGGAAGGAAAATGAGAACAGCTCAACAAAGAATATATTCAACTAAAGAAGACATTGACCAATGTGCTATTCTAAGGTCCAATTTATTTTAAAATTCACTTTGAAAGATATCTATAAAAGAACAGGGCTGTCTTCTAAACAATGACTAAAATAACATTCTTTTAACTAACACAGTTTAGTCTGTATGTTTCACATGGCATGTGATCATTCATTTATTTATTCATTCATTCATGCCCCCAATATAGGATACCTACCTCACCCATATTAATATTTTGGGTACTTTTGGGTTCATTGGACACTATATATATATTTACTTTCATGGGTTTTGTCACAGAAGAACAATAACTGAAATATTCAGATCATGGTGATTTTTCTGCTTTGTGATACCTGCAGTGTTCAATACTACTTCATAAGATTTTGCTATCATTGATTCGTGAAGAATTTATGGAATATGTCATATTTACTAGGATAGCATGTAATTTGGAAATTTAAAATGAGCCTCTGCTCTTAAGTTGCTGTGAAAGAAATAGAAACCTGCTAATTATGGCTGGCCATATACCTCTTTGAAGGCACAGCACTTGATGGTTTCCTGACATATGTAAACTAAGGCATTGGTCATGGACTGTTGGTTAAAGTACACAAGGAAACATTTGTGTAAGTCTCACAAGAGACACTGAGAGAGCTGAGATCCTAGAGGACAATAGAGGATACATCAGAGATTTACTTCATCATGTAATTCTATTGTCTGTGAGTGAGCAATGACAGACAACACTTTTTTTTTGGTCACAGCTTGCTACTTCAGAAATGAGTCAAAACTTTGCCATGGAACTAAAATCTAACAGGTTCTTTTAAACTCCATAATTTTCTGTAATAGTTGTGAGGAAATATCTATCTATGTATATATTTCCCAACTATCTTTTGACATCAAAATGTTTGCAAACTGTGAATATTTTTTGAATTCACCATCAGAAGTACACACTGGCCATAGCTTTTTTGAAACATAATTTGTTTAGTTAAAGTATACTACTTAATATACTCCTAACTTCTCTTATACAATAGTTATCCCAAGTTTTAAAGACAGAGAAAAGAATTAAGCTCATTGCACATAAACTCTTAATATGAGGAAATACTAGGGAAGTATTAAGAAACATGGGCCCTGGCTGGTTTGGCTCAGTGGTTGGAGCATCGGCCTGTAGCCCAAAGAGTCCTGGGTTTGGTTCCTTCTAGGGGCACGTACCAAACAAACAAACAAACAAAAAAAGAAAGATGGAACAAAGATAGACAATGAAATCCAACTACTGAATAGAAACAAAGGCTTTACTTTAATTTATATTTGTTAAGTTTAGTTTTAATTCAATGCTCCTGCTGACTTATTTTGGGCCATTAAAGAATGGGCAATTAAGTATTTGTCAATTTAGGGAGCAAAAGTTTAAGGCTATGACTACAGAAAGCCAAAGTCTTCATATAAAATATGAACACCCCAATCATATATTTTGGTTAAACAGAATCCTCAATTTTACTGATTTTCAGAAATCTGAATTCACTATGAATTCACCAGAATCCATATCTACTGTATAGAAAATCACAAGTGGAAAAATTCTATTACTAATTTAATCAATGAAGACAGATAAACTGGATATTTAAGACTCAGACTTGATAATGACACAGCACATCTGTTGCTGTGTAAGCACAAATAGAGAAACTTCAGTTTTATATTAATATTCTTTGAGGATATTTAGATGGGCTGTTGAAGGCTTCTGAATACATGGAATATCTGTGTCTTATTCATGAGGAATAGAGAGAAAAGAAAGAAGCCTACATAATTAGATTAGCCATATTTAATAGTCCTATTGTTTAAAAAAAAAAAAAAAAAAACCTGGAGCAGACTAAAAAATCTAGGTATATACACTGAAATACACTGACTTTGTAATGTATGTCTATGCTTGTAAGTAAGTGGATTAAACATGTGTGTTTAATCTGAGAGCAACCAAATGTTCGCCTCCTTCAACCTCGATGTCAACCCCAAAATTTCTCCAAGAGAATTCCTTCTGTGAGCACTACCCTTTTCCACTGACCCCTTAAATGTGGACACCCTCGGAAAGATAGCACATTGCTGCAGCACATTAGTGTTAATTAATTTATACCAATCCTCTCCTCTTGCCCCACTCCCCCAGCAAAAGAAGGTCAAAATAGCAGGAGAGTACTAAAACACGTTCTGTAGACCTGTGCAAGTGGGGTCCTGAAATGGAGAGAGAAGCAATGAGAGCGTCACAGAAAACAGTTCAATTTCTTTGACTAACTATGACCTGGGAGACACACTTGAGCTTACACACTTTTGCTCAGGAATGCCATCCCGGCATCCACAAATATAAATTGTAAATTCCCATCAAATTTATTATTACTGACTCCCAATAAGAGTCAGGAAATTACTGAAATTAAAAAAGAACCCATTTTAGAGAAATGTTTCTTGGGATTTATATATGTGTGACTTAGTGCACACAGATTCAGTGTATATAATATCATGTAGAAAATCTTCAGTGAGTTACTAAGATTTGGCATAGTAAAATCCTAGTAGTCTCTTGAGGGGGCAGGAAGTTCAGTTGTGAGGCTTATAGAATCTGCTGTAATATTTTTTTAAGAAAGACATTGTGAAATTACTTTGGAAATTTTGATCTTACCAACATTCACAATATTGTGTCATAATTACATTGAGACTTAGAAGATTAAACCAAAATTGCCTATGTGATAAAACAACTATTTTATCTAATCTCAGCTGTTCTCAGTAGTCCTCATAATTTTAAATAGAATGATATATGTAAAAGCAATTTTTAAGCTTTCAATTAGATATAATTTTCTTAAAATAATAAAATCTCTTCATTCTGAGGAATCTGTCATTTTTATATTAGAACTTACAAGAACAGAAACCATGGAGTATGTAATAAAATAATACTTCCACATATACTATTTCATCTTCCTCATATATGAAATTCACTACAATGCAAATTTTGCATAACATATATGCGCTCAGAATGTACAGTGTTAGGAAACAAGTTAAATAAGTGAAAATGGGTCTTTCTTAAAAATAGAACATGTTAGTTGTTAGAAACCAATAGTTTACATAGGCAAAGCAGTGTTTTCACTAAACAAATATTTATAGAGCCCTTTTGTTTTGACCTTTAAATGTTAGCATGCAAACACTGACCTCTTAAATGTTAGCATGCAAGCACTTAATGAGAATTTTATCTTTTATGTTGCCATGTATTTTTTTTCCACTAATGCATAATATATTTGCATTTACAAAACCAGAGAATGAAATAAAACACCTGTAACATGTAGGATCATGGGTAAATGGGGGGAAAACATCCAACCAAGTCTCTTCTGCGAACCCTGTGTTGTGTCTTTCACAGCGATTATTCTTACCTAGACAATCTCTCATGTTTTCCCTGTCTCACGCCTTAACACAGTCACACAGTATTCACAATTACATTCCCCAGCTCTGAGATATCTAAAGTCATTACTACTGTTCTCAAGATCATTCTGTAATTTTGGTAGACATATAACTTTGTACCTGATATATATTTAGGCTTTATAAATATTAAACTAGCTACATCCTGCAGTGTTTTTAACTTTACACAATATTCTGTGTGCTTCATTACTATTTGATGAAATGATAATCCTTCTAAATCTTTGGATATGCATCAGAGTTATACTTCATATAGCAAAATCTATTGTAAATAGCACCTTGACATTTTGCAAAAAACAAAAATATATGAGACAACCATTTCTTTAGCAGTTAAAAAGTAAAAGAAATTCCTTTCTAAAAGTTTTAGTTTTTTTTTTCCTTTTAAAGAAACATCTACTAATAAATGCATAGCTGCAGTTTTCTTGAGATATGTTTTATTTATTCTGAGTTAAGAACATTTAGAACACAACAATAGTTCTGCTTCTCCCTGCCACCTTCCTCCATAAACTTTCTGATCAAGTATTGTTCAGAAGTCAAGTTGAATAAATAAGCGACAGTATTTACTACAGTTTTAGGTATTAGCTCACTTTGTGCAACATCAGTGCTCAATAAAGATATTAATATGTATTTATACATATATATGTGTATCCACATATATTACTTTTCTGTAAATTGAATACTTTTTGTATGTATTTCAAATACTTCAGAGGTAGATTGTTATTTCAAGAAAATCAGGTGAATTTTTCTATTCAGCAGAGTCGTATTGAGATATTAATTTATATGTATGCCCCAAATATTATAGATCGAAATGTTGAGATTTTTTTCCTTGTCTGCCCAACTCTGTTTCTTTCCTTTTTTCCTAGGACAGGTCCCTTTGTCGCACTAGTGAACTGTATTATTTTGTCCTCTTTTTTTTTTTTTTTTTGCAATTTGAAGTAGGCAATTAACAAAAACACTATGCTTTTCTCATCTTAATACAACATATATGAGTCTATGATAAACAGGCAGGAATTCCAATTAAATACAGGCTGTGTCTCAATTTTTAAAATGCTCTGTTAACTGTGGTGTGAGATTCTCTTAACCTAGTGGATGTGGACTTACAAAGTATTATGGAGACAGAAAAACTTGGACTTGATAATGCTAACTATAGCAAATAATAAACATTAACATAATAAAATATCTCATTATGCTCTTTTCCAGAAAAGTCATTCAAAATGCAAGATGTCTCAAACCATAATCCATCAAACACTTCATTGAGCCAATAATCCCAAGTGATTTATAATGCTTTTAGTATCTTGTTATGTGTAATCTTTAAATAAGCTACTCACTAAATGATTCAATATGGAATATATTGATTTGTACTTTTATAATTATGATAGTTTGAGAGGAGGGATTTCCTTTATGTAAATAAGTATTATTTTTAAGGCTTTCAATGGTGCATTATCTCTGATAGAAAAACAATGCATGAGAATCAATTTGAAATATATTTTTAAAAGTCCTTCAATTCCTCTAGAACTTGAAAAGATTCTATTGTCAAAAGTTATTTACTAAAAGTGGCTTATCATTTGTAAGAAAAAAATTATTAATGAAGCAGAACTACATTTTTGAATCTTGAAATCTATCATTTTAAATGAACACTTGATTGTGAGCCTCTTTTTTACACAATGAATATAAAAAATTGTCAAATACTTTTAAAAAATCACACTAATAAAGAATGGAAAGAATTATGTAGAAATTTAGTTCTTCACAATGGTATATGGAGGAGTCTGTGTTTTATTTTGGGATTTCTGTCATCCTAGGTATTTTGGAAATATTTGCTGTGTCTCAGGGGATTGTAGGAATACGAGGAGTTTTCAGCAACAAATTTTTAGCGATGTCAAAAAAAGGAAAACTCCATGCAAGTGTAAGTAGAACCACTTTATATTTGTTAAAGGTGTTATGGAGATTTTACATTTGTAAAATAGAATGAAGTGACTTTCTAAATTAGTAGGTAAATAGGACAATTTTCCCAGGGAACTTAATATTCTTCATTTTTGTAAAATTATATGTACATTTAACCAAAAGCATTATATGTGTTTTGTAAGTAATCATGTAAATATTTTATTTACTTGAAAAGATAGACTCCACAAAAATTTCAAGGGTAATTGCATTTGAAAATAACTTCTCAGAGTGATTGCTATTATTTATTTCTTAAATGTGGTCCAAGTGAGAAGAAACATTATGGAAATAATATGTTATGTAATATTTTAAATTTATATGTTTACGACGGTTGTGTGTGCATTTAGTTGATCAGGTTCTTATTTAATTCTACAAACTATTCATGACATCAAAAATTGGGTCTCAGTAATATAACATATTTTTATTTTAATAAGTACAGAGGGAAGAAACCAATAATGAGAACACTTTGACCTTATATAGAGAAATTGTATTTGATCCATTTATGAAATACTCATCTTGTATTTTTGTTGCATCAAAACCAATTCTTAAAACTATAAAGACTAATTTTCACTCATAAACATTTCTTCAGACCACTTATACATTTTGTCAGCATTTTATAAATTACAGATTTCTATGCTTTGTTCTGAAAAATGTTGATTACTTGAGAAGTATTAACACTTTTCAAAGATAATATAATATGTTTAGCTTAGTTTTCCTACTCACAGATACTGTTAATTTGTGTCAGTACATATGCACAGCACTTAAAAGCAATTAATGCTTTTTCTATAGTGTACTAAGCTTTGTCACATTAAATGATTTGAAAAAGCAAATCTTTAGTGATAGTTCTTTAATCCTTATTCTCTTTCTATATGAATTAGAGAAACATCACTTTTTCAGTTTTCAAAATACATGGGAAGTTTTAACTGAGTGCAATCAATGGAAACTTACTATTTATGATTTACTTTAAAGACGTTTAAAAAATTCAATGAGAATTCCATTTAGTTCAATGTGTAAGACTTTTAATTATTTTCTCTACCATAGAAAGATGGTTTGTTACATACCACTTAGAAAAGGCAGTAGAATTCAAGCTATTTCAACAGTTATTTGAGGATTAAATGAGATAATACATACAAAACTTTTAGATCAGTATTTGGTACATTGTAAGTGCTCAAATATTACTTATTAGTATATGATTATCTAAATACAATAAACTACTGAAACCTTGGTTTATTAAGATAAATGGAAAACCTTTGTTAACTTCTTTAATCACTCACTGCCAGAATTATAAAAAGATTTACATATTTTATTTTCTGAGCTGGTGATTATATTCTAGCAAGTGATAATATAGTACTCATAAAATAATTGCTCTTTGATTTGTTTATTATTTTAAGGGGCAAATATCTGCATTGTTTTGGGAAAGTAGGACATGCCACTTTATTTTTTTGAAATTTGATTTTGAAAAACCCACATACAGAATAGAAAACAATGATTAAACATCTGAACAGACTTCTCCTCAGTCAACTTCAAGGTTATAAAAGATAGAAACACCTTCAAAATCTAGGATCAGAATAATATGCAGTGCATGTAAGGAAACTTTCTCTTACTGGTTTGTTTTGGGTAGAAGTCTTGATTTTTAAATTTTCAGATTCATGCCCTACTACATGAAAAAAAGAAAATAGACTAAACTTAGGCCAGCTTAAGGGTAATTGCCACAGAAAGCAAAGTTTTACAAATGGATGCCAATTAGAAAGGTCAAACTGAGAGGTTAGGATACATGATTCTTCTGTCAAAAGCAAGTAACAAATTTCCAGAAATTTGACCCAAATGTCTAAAGATGGCTGGCTGAAATAATGCAGATAATGCAAAAACAGCATCTGTTATTCTTTCTCATCTTGGCAGGCTAAAGTTATTTCATGGACTAATGACTTTTAAACAGTACAAAGCAAGTCTTGCTCTTGTCACTCACTGAAGCTCTTTGATATAAGAGTCATTCTGATGACTTTGAGCTGAATTGTAGATTAAAAAAAAATTAAGCCCTATGATTATGTGGATTCTTTTTAAACCAATTGTCTAAGCCAACTTTCTCTTATCAGAGCTCTTATTACTACTTTTTTTCTAGATGGAAACCTAATTGAATTATAAACTGATTTATTTGTAAGGAATTTGAATTAAGAAATAGTATTAATCCTGGTAAATATCAATTTTAAACACAGATGCTTTCTTTCCTGTTATCAGTTTCTACTTAAACATGTTGAAAAATTGTTAGTGTAACTTTATTATTATTTTTTATATTGTTTCTTTATTGATTCTTGAGAGAGAGGAAAGGAGAAGGAGAAAGAGATAGAAACATCGATGAGAGAGAACATCGACCTGGGTATGTGCCTTGACCAGGAATTGAACTGGTGACCTGTTGGTGCATGGGTCGATGCTCAACCACTGAACCACACTGGCTGGGCTGTTAGTGTAACTTTATTTATTTATTTTATTTTCATTTTTTTATCATCACCTGAGGATATTTTTCCATTTTTATCCTCAGGCAGAGAATGAGGGAGAGAAAAGGAAAGAGAGAGAAACATTAACATGAGAAGGACACATTGACTGCTTGCCTCCTGCACCACTCCGACCAGGGCTGGGTACGAACTACAAGTTAGGTACATGCCCTTGGCTGGAATCGAACCTGGGACTCATTGGTCCGCGTGCTGACAATCTACCACCGAGCCACACAGGCTGGGCTGTTAGTGTAACTTTAAATACACTTGCAGTATTTGATTTAGTTGAGTTACAAAATTGCATCCACTAAAAAGGCTAAAAACCCTTATACTTTTAGGATCAAATGTGTAATTTGTGATTTGTTTCAAATTAATAATTGTACAGAGGCATATAATGAGAGCCTTTATAATCATTTTAAGACATATATACTCACACTAAGTCCTTACTTAATGTCATTAATAAGTTGTTGGAAACTGCAACTTTAAGCAAAACCATGTATAATAAAACCAATTTTACCATAGGCTAATTGATATAAACACAAGTTAATTACTATGGCATATCTCATCACAAAACATCACCAAGCTTCTAAATGAAGACCTAAATAATTCTAATATTAAACATGGAAAGAAATGTGAGCTATACAGACATTTAAGAAAGATTAATAAAAACAAGTAAGATCATTCTTTTCCAAGCCATTTATTCCAGTTCAGGTTTGCTGATGGCCAGAGCCTCTCCCGGCAGTTCAGGGCACCAGAAGGGAATGGGAACCCACCCTGGACAGGGCACCCTTTCGTCGAGGGTGCACTCATACACACCCACATTCACTCACACTGGTACAATGCAGACATACCAATTGACCTCAAGCGCACATCTCTGGGATGTGGGGAGACACTGAAGTCCCTGCAGAAAACCCATGCAGACATAAGAAGAATGTGCAAACTCCACACAGACAGTGGACCCAGCCCAAAATAGACTTTTGTCCTTATCCGAGTTATAATAAAGTGATGTTGAAGGAAACAATACCTGCTGTATGTATAACATCATGTATATCCTAGCCCTGGCCAGTTTGGCTCAGTGGTTAGAGTGTCAGCCTGTGGTCCAGAGAGACCCGGGTTCGGTCCCACTAAGGGCGCGTACCTTGGTTGCAGTTTCTCCCTAGCCATGGTTGGGTCGTGCGGATGGCAACCACTCGATGTGTCCCTTTCACGTCGATGTTTCTCTTTCTCTCTCTCTCTCTCTCTCTCTCTCTCTCTCTCTCTCTCTTCCTACCACTCTATCTGAACAAAAAAACAAACAAAAAAACACACATCGTGTATATCTTAAACTTACACAATGTTTCCAATAAACTGGAAAGAATTAAAAATTAATAAAGATTACTTTAAGGATTTTATCTACAAAGTAAATGTGTATTAAACAATGTCAAGTATCCATATAATTATGGGAAAGTAAATCCATACTCTATTGAGAACTATTTATGGATAATTATAGAATCTCAACTTGTTTTTTATAGTAACAATCAGAATATTAAATATTAGTTACTAGACAGAGATAATGTATTTGCATAATTCTTTAAAAGATCTTTCACTCACATGATCTCATTACATAATTAGGTGAGGAAGAGTCTCAGAGATGTTATTTTCCTAAATTAACAGAGTTAAGTGACTGAACCAGGCCTATATCTTTTAAAAATTCTCTTTCTCTTTTCAGGCTATAATGCTTGGTAGGTAAAAGTTAATTTCAAAGAAGACATTGTGTTTTGTTTGGAACTAATTACATTGTTTTTACCTGTTATTTTATAGGAATTAATAGTTTCATGATTTAATACTTTTTATATTACATTTTAAAGAATGAATACTGTGGTTCATCTTTAGAATGTTCTGTTTGCCAACCCCCTCAACACCACCCATCTCTCTCCCTCTCTCATTCCAAGCTCTTTTTGAAATCTTTTTTTACCCCATCTACTTCTGTATTTCTTTTTCTTTTTTTTAATTTCTTTTTTATCATCACCCAAGGACATTTTTGCATTTATCTTCAGATAGAGCAGGAGGGAGAGAAAAAGGAAGAGAGAAAGAGAAACATCAATGTGAGGGAGACACACTGACTGGCTGCCACCCACACGACCCCAACCAGGGCTGGGAACAAACTGCAACCTAGGTACATGACCTTAGTGGGAACCGAACCCAGGACTCTCTGGTCCGTAGGCTGACGCTCTAACGCTGAGTCAAACTGGCCAGAGCTACTTCTGTATTTCCAATGCTTACTTTTATAATCTGAAAAGGAGGGGATGTGTCCACCATGGAACTTATCACTGAGTTTGGTTATTCAATGCGATGGTGACTTCCATAGGGAACCCCTGTCAAGATGAACTTTCAACACAGAAAAGAGATCTGTTCTGTTCACAGAAAGTCTTTACTTAGAAAATGCATCATTGTCTATGGACACAAAGATGGTAAATGGAAATATCAGCCTAGAATG